TTTTTTTTGGTTGCAGCCATCGTTGTTTGGCAGGCCCGGGCTGGGGATTCGAACCCGCCACCTTAGGTGTATGTGGCTGGTGCCCCAGCCGCTTAAGCCACAGGCGCCGAGCCGGTTTGTATGTTTTTTAAGGATGGGACGCTTTTGAGTATGCTTTTTAGGTATTTTTAGAACTTCCTATGGGTGTGTCTTATTTTTATTTTTATTTTATTTATTTATTTTTGAGACAGAGTCTCACTATGTCATCCTCGGTAGAGTGTCATGTTGTTACAGCTCACAGCACCCTCAAACTTTTGGGCTTAAATGATTCTCTTGCCTCAGCCTCCCAAGTAGCTGAGACTACAGGCGCCCGCCACAATACCCAGCTACTGTGGGTGTGTCTTGGGGGTAGTCTGGGTAGTTTGGTGTTGGAGCCCAGGTGTCTGACCTCTGTGACCCTCTCATGTGCTCCTGCCCAGCTGGCCCAGGCTTTCACAGTGAAGTGTGGTGTCCACGTGTCAGGAGCGTCTCCTGAGAGCATCAGCAGCCTTCTCTCAGAGGTGGCCGAATATGGGACCTACTACACACGCCTGAGTCATTTCTCTCTGCAGCCCGTCCTAGATGCTTCATATAGCAAGGGTCTTGTGTTCCAGGTATGGCCTCAGCCTCATGGTTGTCACCCACCTTCAGGAGAACTATATGCACATTCTGGAAGGTGGGACACAGAGACTCTACCCAGGGCCACCAAGTCCATACCTTTTATTTCTCTGGTAACACCTACTCCCTGCTAGTTACCCTTCAGGAATGGGTTGACTGGTCCTAATCTTTAACCTCACCCATCATTCCACTGGGCACCTGGGACAGATGTGTTTGAGTGGACTTGCTGGGGTTTCTGAGCAAGTCTGGCTCCGGGAATAACTGGTTGAAACAGTTGCAGCTGACTCATGTGCTAGGTAAAATCCCAGGGTGTGGCCTGAGTGGGAGAGGACAGGCAGGGCATGTCAGGAGAACTGAGGAGCTTCAGGCCCAGGGGGGCTGGGCTGTGTGGGCTCCTTTGAACATTGGTGTCATAGTGGAGCTGTCGGGGTGACAGATGGGGTTTAGGCTGTAGGCTGGGGATGGGGTACGGCCTAACTTAGCAGCATGGGGTGACCTTCTAGGCAGAGGAGCAGGAAGTGTGGAGCTGTGAGGGCCCTAAGGGATGGAAGGTGGAGAATGTGTCAGAGAGGGTGTCCAGGGGGAGGGGAGCAGAACTGTGATTCTTGGTTGTGTGCTGTGTGGGACACCCACACCAGGCCACATGACTTCTGGGTGTGTGTGGGCTCAGGTTTGTTCTGGGATGTGACCGTTAGGGGCCATGTTGCTGTTGTGTAGCCCAGGACACTGGTGCTTCCCAGACCACTGTGGTTTTAGCAGCTGAGGCTTTCCTCAGGGTTAGCCCTGTGTGCATAGCCCAGCCACCCTTCCAGAATCACCCCAGGACCAGAGATAAATTGTAAAGAAGGCTTTGTGGTGGGCCGTGGCTTCCTGTGAAGGGTCTTTGCTTCTAACTGGGTGAGGATGGCTGACTTAACCCATAGATGGCAAATGCTTGGGCATTGGAGCCCAAGGTTGTGGTGCAGAGATAGGGCCTGAGCTTGGGGCCTGTCCGTTTGCCTGGCTGTTCTCCTCCCAATCCCTTGCCCGTAGGCCTTCACCAGTGGCCTAAGGAGGTACCTGCAGTACTACCGGGCCTGTGTTCTCTCCACACCTCCCACCCTGAGCCTCCTCACCATTGGCTTTCTGTTCAAGAAATTGGGCCGGCAGCTCAGGTGAGCCTTGGGGGTGGCCGGGGGCTTGCAGGGTGGTGGAGGGTCAGCCTATTCTCTGTCAAGGAGGACCCATGAGCACAGCCCACAGCAGGTGTTGGGATGGCTCCTGTCTGGCCAAGCCCACCAAATGCTAGGTGGTGTGGCATCTGCCATTGGCTCCTGTGGACAGCCTGGGAGCTCCTGTCTGAACAGAACTTAGGGTTAGTAAATACCTAGGCAGGGTGTTGTCAAGTGCTGTTGGGAGAAGGGGTGCTGGGGAGCTGAGGTGTGTGTGGGGGGCTCCACACAGGAGATCTGAGGGCCGAGAGTGCCTGATGCAGTGAGGGAGGGGGTGCCTGGGGCTGAGGGTGGTTCCTGCGGACATGTGGTACTCTCTGTGCTGTGTGCCACACATACCAGTGTAGGAGAAAGGGGCCTGCAAGGGGCTTGGTTCTCCAGGCCAGAGTAGGTGGTGACATGGGCAATGTGGTGGGGAGCTAAGGTGGAGCCCAGGTGTGGGATGGTGGCTTCATAGACACAGGATGGCTAGAGTCTTTGCCAGGGCCTGAGAGTGGGTGGGGAACTGGTTGGCACATTGAGGGTGGGGGCCTGGCAGGTAGCTTAGATCTGGGTTTCTGGGATATAGATGGTTTTAGAGTCTGGGTGGGTGGGCCAATGACTTTGAGAAGCACAAAGATAACACCTGGTATCTGGCCCAGGCTTGGGGACCCAAAGCCCTCTCACTTGGACTGATCCTATTCTGGGTCTAGGTACCTGGCTGAGCTTTGTGGCGTGGGCATTGCGCTCCCAGGAGCCAGTGGAGGAGGGCCCAGGGCTGCGTTCCCCACTGTGAGTCGTGCCTCTTTGCTGAGAGTGGAGGCCTGGCTAGCTCCAGGAAGTGGGGGTGGCTGTGAGTAGCCCCTTGGGCCACTACTAGATGGGGCTTCCCTCTTCCACAAACTCTAGTGTGCTGAGTCCACTGCCCTTGCCTTTCTGCAGGGAGTGAAACTGCTGTCTTACCTCTACCAGGAGGCTCTGGGTAACTGCAGCAACGAGCATTACCCTGTGCTACTGTCCTTGCTGAAGACTAGCTGTGAGCCCTACACGCGGTAGGCAGTAGGCCTGGGTGCCCCAAGTGGGCAGGGTGGGGGCAAGGCTATGCTCAGGCCAAGGTGACTCTGGCAGTAGCCTTCTGTCAGACATCCACAGAGTGCAGTCACATGCCAGGAGGGCAGCATGGGTGACTGGACTATGGCTGTGGGCATGCTGGGTGGGAGGCCCAGCCCACCCCACGTACCGGCCACACCCACCTCACTGCTGGCCCCCTTGTCATTCATGCAGGTTCATCCATGACTGGGTGTACAGTGGGGTCTTCAGAGATGTTTACGGCGAGTTCATGATTCAGGTGAACCACGAGTACCTGGGCTGCAGAGGTGAGTGGCCGCTGTTGCCCCACATCTGTAGGCTTAAACTCAGGACCACTGTGACACAACCCCGGCTGTGATCTGCCACCCTCAGATAAGCTCTACTGGACCCACGGCTATGTGCTCATTTCCAAAGACGTAGAGGACTGCGTGCCTGTGTTCCTGAAGCATATCGCCTATGATGTGTATGTCTGTGGCAAGACCATCAACCTGCTCAGGCTCTGCCATCCCCGGGTGAGGAGGGTCTTACCTGTCTGTGCCTCTGGGCGAGGGCTGCGCTGGGTGAGGAGGGTCTTGCTCATATGTGTGTCCAGGTGAGGGCCGTGCCTGGGAAGGGCTCTGGTTGACCAGGGCTGAGTGCGGCGGCTATGCCTGAGTCCTCGAGCTGCCTGCCCCGGGGTCTGCCCAGAGCTCACCACAGGTCCTCTCTTGAGCAGCATTATCTCTGTTGGTCCGACGTCCCTGTGCCTCGCATCTCAGTAATTTTCTCCCTTGAGGAGTTGAAGGAGATTGAGAAGGACTGTGCTGTCTATGTTGGGCGGATGGCAAGGGTGGCTCGCCACAGCTCTATCAGCAAAGAAGAGAAGGTGCGTGCACCACGATCACTTCCCTCTATCGCCTGGGGGCTTAGGCTGATGGGCAAGGGCACTGCCTTGGGATGTGCAAAGTGGGGAGTCTCTCTTCTGGCCTTTCCACCCTGGTGGTGGCTAGTGGGTGCTGAGGGGGAGCCAGATGTCTAGGACAGGGGCCGTGTCCCCCTTCATTTGTCTGGATGACCTGGCCTGAACCCTAGGCATTTTTGCTATGGGCAGCTCCACTGAGGTTTCCCTTGGGCTTGCCAGCTCTGGACAGACTCAGTTCTGACGTAGCTCCAGGGCCGCAGGGCCGAGGTTCTGTGCGCAAATGGCTTCTACAAACTCCCCTCTTGCTCAGAGGGATGGATGACCCTGGGACAGGGGCTGTGCATGTATATCTTGTGTACTTGGTGGGTGGGAGTTTGTTGGGAGGATCATTGCCATTCTCAGCAACACTCTTCCTGGCCTGGTACGTGGTGGGCAGTAGGGAACCCTGGGCAGGGGCAGACCCAAGAGGCCTAGCAGGGAAGCTGCCTGTCTGAGACCCCCCTGGTCTCCCTCCAGGACAGGCACTCTCAGCGTGGGGCCTCAGCTCTAGATGTCTCTGAGAGCCTATTGGTTTCAGCCTTGCCTCTTCTCAGAACGGAAGGGATCTGTCTGGTGCCTTCTTGTGGTCTTGGATTTTGCATCCTACTTGTTGACCCTGAATCTGCATGGGGTGTTGAAGGGGGCAGATGTGACAACAGCTGGTGCCTCAAGCAGCCATCCCCTTTCCTAGGCTGTCCAGGTGAGGGGACAGAGGATTAGGACACTTTGTTTACTGATTATCTTTCTCAGGAATTACGTATGGAAATTGCAAAACAAGAATTAATTGTCCATGCCCGGGAAGCAGCATCCAGGGTCCTGAGTGAGCTGAGTGGTAAGCATGGGCTCAAGTCTTCCCCTTTGTAGTCTGGGGGCCCCTGTGGGGGATCCTTGTGACTATGCACCTCTCACCGTCCCCATGTAGATAGGCAGATGTTGGAGCAGATGGCTTTGGATGCCCGGAAGCGAGAACAGTTTCAGAGGCTGAAAGAACAGTTTGTGAAGGACCAGGAGGTGGGTGTGTACCACCCCTGAGTGTTTAGGATTGTGGAGTCCTGATGTAACCAACCAGGCTGTTGTTATGCAGCGACGCCTGGCAGCCAGACAGGAGGAGTTGGATGATGACTTCAGCTATGCCCGTGAGCTCCGAGACAGGGAGAGAAGGCTGAGATCCCTGAAAGAGGAGCTAGAGAGGAAGGCGAGGTAGGTGGCGGGGCTACGGGCAGGCAGGGGTTGCAGAGTCCTATAGTGCTGCTTTAATCTTGGTGATGGTGACTTGACTTTTTCATTTGTCAAAGTGAAGTGTACAAAATGTCAAGTGTACATTAAGGTAGACCCATACACTTGAACCCAGAGCACCCACCTGAATTCAATGCATGTGGCCATTATGCTATATTCAGACATCATTGGCTATCCTGAATGTCTTCTTTTTTTGTTTTTTTTTTTTTGGTTTTTTTTTTTTTT